GTAATTGCTTGATATGCATTTCTGATGTAAAATATTCCCACAACATAATCTTTTTTAAATTTCTGCTGCAGATTTCCAGCATTGTTTTCCCCTCCAAATGTATCAATCGCATTTATTTTGGGACAGGATGTTCTCAATAAAATAAAAAGACTGTGTCTATTCTAAGTATTCCAGCCTCCCTCATTAGATTTCCTACAGCTTTCATTCCAGTTGGAATTTGGTTGCCATTAACTGAGGTGTGTGTTCGGCAGAGTCAGAGAATCATTACAGTGTGGAAGGAGGCTATTTGGCCCACTGTGGCATGCTAGCATGTTTTTTTTTTAATTATCTCTGGGTGGATCCTTTTGATATGACCTGGCTCCACCACGGACACAGGTAGTGCATTGTGAATCTATCTGATAACCGATAAGTCTTGATGGTAGCCTTGCTGTTTCATCAAACTGAAAGTGGCATTCAGCTCAGCACACAATGGTGCATGCAGTAAACCTCCTCTGGTATTGTCATTGTTGTCGTTGGCTTATTCTGTATAATGTATCACCTCTATGTCTATGTCAAAATAATACATACCAATCACATGTAACCTTTCTGAAGGCATCATTGTGGCCAGGTACAAAGAGCCAAGTACCTGCTTTCTGTAACGTACGCTTCCGATAATGCTGTTTGTCTTCAAATGTTCTTTGTTTCTCTAATGCTGCTTTTGAGTTCTCTAACTCACATCACAGAGAGGGTAAATCAGCCCAGCATCAATCCCTGTGCTATTGACACTAATCTAATGCACAGCGACAAAGCCCCAAGCAGTCCCAGTTGCTGTAGGCTTTTCTCAGACCTTCTGAGAAAGTGTCACTCGAACCGAAACGCAAGCACTGATTTCTCTGCACAGATGCTGCCAGACCTGCTGAACATCTCCAGCAATCTCTCTGCTTTTTATTTAGACTTTTACACGCGTGTGGTAGCCTGGAGTTGCAGAGAGTGACAGGGAGAGGCTCCAACATCCTTTCTCCTCACCAGGAGTCCCTTTGTATCCCCTTGGCGTGTGTCAGAACGTTTCCCAGGTTGACACTAACCCTGTTAGGCTGCAATGTGACCACACCTTCCCTGGTCATCACGTCCTGGATGGGACTGGAACCCAGAGCGCCCAGCTCAGAGCCGAGCACTATGCTACAAAAACTTGGTTTGCATTCACCTTTTCAAGGATCTTTGATAGGGTAGCGAGGAACTGATGAGAGGGCGGGGTTTCAGAAACCTGCAGACATAGGCTTATGATCTTTGAAAGAAAGTAGCTATACCGGTAATTAGGAGGGTTTTGTTTCACACAGTGAAACACGTTGTGTGTGAAATGATGATGGAGGCAGAATTAATGATAGCTTCCAAATGAGAATGGATTAGCCACTTGGAAAGCAGACAAAGCACAAGGTTTCTGCTAAAGTGTAGGGCTAATTGGAGAACTCTTGGACACAATGGGCTGAATGGCCTCCTTCTGTGCTGCTGGATGCCATAACATGACAACACCCATCTGAAAGGGAAGGCAAGACTTAAGGTGAACCGTTATCAAAAAGGTAGGCACAGACCTGACGGGCCGATATGTCTCTTTTGTGCTGTGTGGCCCTATGACGCTAAGGTAATCTACAACTCTACGATTGCACCGCTGGCATATGAGTCCTGCATGGGTGACAGGCTGAGTCACAGAATCATAGTGGAGGCTGCTCAGCCCATCGAGTCCACTCTAGCTTCTCGAAGGAGCCTGGAATTGTTGTTGAAAGCTCCATGGTAGAGTGAGGTCTGAACCAACTACTCTCTTAATCCCAGATGTGACGGTGCTAGAGATAGACAAGAGAGGCTGCAGAATAAAAGGCAAATTTGTTGATTGGTCTGGAAGCTGTTGATCAGGGCTTTGGAGATTGTTCCATAATTCCAAAGATCTTTGTTAACGAGGGATAGTAAAGACTTTGAAGCGTAAATCTTCCACTTCTGAGCTTGATTGTAGGGCAGTGTGACCAACAGCAATGTACACTGGAAAATCAGACTGATAGAGTTGTAGAGATGTACAGCACAGAAACAGACCCTTCGGTCCAATTCATCCATGCTGACCAGATATCCTAAATTAATCTAGTCCCATTTGCTAGCATTTGGCCCATATCCCTCCAAACCTTTCCTTTTCACATACCTATCCAGATGCCTTTTTAACAATGTAATTAAAGATGCTGGGAGCTTCCATCCATTATTTAGCCCTGCTCATAGGGAAAGGTGCTGTCACAGGAAACCAACTGCTGGAACATAACCAAGTAAAAATATAAAGGCCCAGATCTTTCAGGTTCCTGATTGTTGCACTTTGGAAGACCATACAAAATGCTCAAACTCCTGATGGGCATTCTCCAAATCCTGGGATCCTTGAAATAACTCTACAATTCTCAGTTAGATTAGAGCCAGAAATTTTAGTCAGCTTTGGTCTACTGACTTGATGGTTACTGAGAAAATGTTAGACAGAAATGTCCTAACTTCCTAACTCATCTAACTTCCGATAACTATGCCCACAACTCACTCCCAGCCCCAACTCTCTGACTCCCTCCTGACTCTAATAATTCTTCCACCCCTCCCCCAACCATTTCCCCCAGTCTCTGCTCCCAAATCCCCAGTTAGCCCCAACTAACCCTCAACTCCTCCAGCGTGAGTTTCCTCCTGGTGCTCCGGTTTTCTCCCACAGCTCAAAGATGGCAGGTGGAATGGCCCTGCTAACTTGCCCCGTTGGGTACAGGATGGTAGGAACTGCAGATGCTGGAGAATCCGAGACAACAAGGTGCAGGGCTGGATGAACACAGCAGGCCAAGCAGCAT